AACTCAGTGTTGCTGCTGTGGCAGGAGTTATCTTTAGAACACAAAAGAGAGAATATATTTTTTGACACTAAAAAATAAATAAATAAAAAGAAAAAGAATAAAAATACTGAAGAACTTGTATATTTCGGCAACTCAACACTAATGCAACTGCCTCTGTTTAAATGGGAAAGAGATTTATTTATGAACCTATCATATAGCTATTAATGACAAAAACAATATTAATTTGTTAAAAATGGAACAACAAACTGCACAAAATGGTTCCTTGAAGAATCTGTGTAAGGGGTTCTTTGAGTGACCTCTGCTGTCGGGGTTCCCTCCACAGTCGCAATAGTGGAACCTACGACTGTATGACTTGTCTGTTATATTTTGCTTTCCTTATGAAGCACAGATTTCAAAAAGTGCTCAATAAATACCAGATATTATTCGGATATCACTTAAACCTCTCTACACTAGATGAGAGCCGATGGAATCAATTGAGGGTTTGCTTTCACTCGGCAAGAGAAGACTAAACGTCGCAAGATTTGTCTGTCTCTCAGCCCAGCGATTTGAATGTGTGAAATGGACAACGGGATCACAATGACCACCTCATCACCCCGTGCACTGGCTTTTTAAAAAAAAGAAAATGGGACCGAAATGAAACATGGCAACAACATTTAACCAAAAGCCAAGTGAAAAGATATTACAGGAAAACCCAGAGCACCACTGTGATTGGTGTGTGACATTGAGGCATCGTCCCTCACATCTCTGCTGGTCCATGGGCTTCATTAACATGCTGCTGAGCAATATGACAGACGCTCCAGTCACCTCCTGGGATCCCGCTGGCCTCATCATCTCGCTCCCTTTTCAACTCAACCCGTCTCTCCATCTTCTTCAGATTTTCTTCTCCCCTCCTTTTCTTTTCCAAATTTGTCCTTCAGTTCAACCAAGAAGTGCTTAATTGTCATGCAGGTGGCGGAAACTGTGGCTCCAATGCAAAGTGACATGCTCCATTTAAAGCTGCATGTTCGGCTATTTAGCTGACACTTGTATTGAGAGCTCTTACCCACAGAGAAATGAGAACGGATGAAAGGGTGGAGGCCCTGGTGTCCTGCTCAGGGACACTTCAAAAGGACACACGGTTTTTTTTTGTTGGCCGCTTTGGCTGTCATGGAGATCAAACCAGGAGACTTTTCAGGTTTTTTTAAAAAGGGCTATTTCACCAATAGGCCAGCCTGCGGTGAAGTGGTTAATTATCATGCAGGAGAGGGAAATCCAGGCTCCTGCTCAAATGATTGTACTTGGAAAGCGCTGATTGATTGAACGGGGCCAGACACTCGAAGAGCTTTAGGAAGTGTCCACATGGCCATTTGCGAGATAACTTAAATCCATCGCATCCACGGTTCATTCCAGGGCTGGGATGTAATTAGGTGTCGTTGCCATTAAAAGTCTCAGACAGACATCAAGATATTGACGTCTGCAGGTGTCTGGCTGCTCCTCTGATTAGATTAAAACGGATTGTTTTATTCACTTGCATTCAAATAGGTGGAATGGACAAAGGACACCGATACCGAGCTGTATCAATGATCAGGGCTGGAAAATAGCCACCAAACAACTAAGCTACAGAAGAAAATGTTCTGAGAATGACCAGTCCAAAGAAATACTGGTCTGATGAGAATTCATTAAGATGTGGGGAAAGTATTACTACAATCTATACTTGTAGAAGTTTGGATGTTGTTTTACCTTCAAACGACAAAGAAATTTGCAAAAGAGGAAACTTTGAAGGTACCGCTGTCGCACAAAGCTTCAGGGTTGTGCCATTAGCATGAAGAGAGTCACTACATCAAGCTGATTCAGGATCGGAGCTGAAATAAGTCGGTCCTTTGAAATGATCTTCAAAACACCACACCGGTGATACTGCATATTAACACTATGAAATCCCAACGGTTATTACTTTTTTAAAAGAACTGCAGAAATACAGCATTTAGTCGCCACAAATAGTAAAAATGGAAAGATTGTGTGATTTCTGACTCCAGCTGCTCGTCTGTGACATGTGGTTCCATATGAAAACTTTAAATTGTGATATTTCCTCCGAATCACTTCATTGGACATATCTCACGTAAAAACCGGCCGAAAATAAACAGTTTCCTCAAAACAGATTCTGTAAAAAACAAAAAAAGTTGTTGCTTTATGATGCAGTAAAACTATGACAGGAGCAAATAAAAAAACAACCAGAAACCGTTTTCAGAGGCTTAAAGCTAAAAAAAACTTCCATCTGCTTCTACCTGCTGTTAGTGTGAGTCATGCAGTGATGGAATAGGTTTTGGGATATTTCCTAGATTTCTCCTGATCTCCTCAACCTTCAAAGTGAAACGTTCAGGTCATAGATCAGCTTTAGAATTCCATGTTTTGCCTCATAAAACAGCAACATTTATTTATAACTCCTAGTAATCGTGATTGTAAAACAAGCTTCTAAAGTGGGACTACTTTCCACAGTGGAGACATAAATTCCTTTTTATGTGTCACAACTGCACCACCAGCTGCCATCTGGTTGATCTGACGGCGTCCCCTCTCCTTCCACATCCATTCCTCCGTCAACCTCAGCACCATTTCTTCCTCAAACTGATCCGGTGCAACACTTGACATCTTCTTGTTCTCTAGTCGCTGCATCATTGCTTTTTAGTGGAAATTTCACAATCGGGCTGGCTGGTCTAAGGAAAATATTTAATTGTGATTTGAGGTGTTTCAGTTCAATATTCACTGCAGCCGAATTGTGTCTAAAAAAAGTTTCTCCATCCACGTCGTTTAATCAGAGGTTCTGAACACAATGAAGTTTTAAAGAGCGCATCCTGTAATTAGCCGAGACCGCTGCTAAGAGCAGATGGGCATCGAGGAGTTAATGACTGATGTGTCCGTCTGTCTGCTCTAATTGGTGTAAAAAAAAGTTTTTCAATTTAAAAGATGGTTTGCAGTTGTATCACAGATTTGTCTGGCACATGGAGGTCCAGCAGAAAATCATCTCAAACCAACATTCAGGCCGTTGTAGGAAGAAGAGGTGCTGCTTATACTGCTATGAGAGATGATGCCATTCGGTTTGTAGTGTCGATTGTGAAGAACGAACACCAGATATGGGAACTCTGAGGCAGCAGTAAGGTCAAATATGAATTGATAGAAGTCAGAAAATGAGATCTCATTGTGTTGCAGCTGAGTTTTTATCAGATGTATCCAAATTAAAACTTGCAGACGTGCTTCTGTGGAGGAAAAAAGTTCACAAATGTATGATGCTTTCCTTAATATATCTTTAACACTCTGAACCCTAACACCCGCCAACAGGTTGAAAAAGCACCTTGTGTAGGTTGCTCTCTATTATTATTTTGTTGTTTTTTACGTTCTAAGTTAGTTGTGCTGAAAACGTGTATTGTATCCACATCCAGCACAACTGTGTAAAAATGCATGAGAATCAATATTAGTAGCTTTCATTTAGTATAACACACTTTTAAAAATGATAGTTTACCAAGTGCTCTGACAGAAGTCCACAGAAAATAGTCAAGTTAAAGCCCTAAAAAAATAATTACAATGCTATTATTAGTTTAACCATCAATTTTAAATATTGTTAAGAACCTACTCTGTTATCAAATTAATAGAAAAAATACATACCTAAATTATATATCAGTGTTAAGACCTCAAAATGATCCATTATGCATATTTTCCTAAATAATTTAAATACTGAAGTTAGGACCATTATAATATTATATAAAAATATCAATTTATCTGACTAATTTCAACATTAAGGTGAAAACCCTTTAACGGTATTTGTTATACAAATTTAGATTATAAATGTATACATGAAGATTAAAACCCCAAAATAACAATTAAAATTAATTAAATGTAGTAATATATAACAATGTAAAGATCCTGTTGGATTATTTATGACGCAAACACAACGTTAATGTTAAGCTAACCTTACAATAATAATTAAAATATCAATTAATGGACTAAATATTGTGCTTAAGACCCTACAATGTTATTTACTGTAAACATTTACCTGACTAACTTATATTCAGGGTTAACAAATAAATAAAATAAGATTTAAAACCTACAACGATAATTCAAGTACAAATTTAAATTATACTAAATACAAATCTAACGGATTCATTTCAAATATGACGGCTAAGGCTCTACAATATTACACTTATATAATATTTATTATAATTTTCCTAATTAAAACCTGATTAAACATTAAGCTAAATGAAATATTAGGGTTTAAATCTTCACGTTCACCTGACTAATTTCTACAGGAATTAAAATACAAATTTAATCAACTAATTTAAATGTTTAGGGTAAAGCCCTACAATAATATTTAATATGCAAATTTAGTTTAATTTAATTCAATATTATGGTTAGGACCCAATAATAACAATCAAAAATGTCAACATACCAATTTAATTATATATTAATGTTAATAAATATCCCTGCCTAGTTTCAATATTAAGATTAAAACTCTGCAATATTATTTAAAAGATTAATTTACTGGACTAAATAAAACATTAAGCATAAGACACTGAAATATTATTCACTGGAATCAAATATTAGGGCTATAATCCTATAATATTAATTATTATGCACATTTATCTGACCAACTTCTTGAGCAAGTAAAATACAAATGTAATCAACTAATATAAATATTAAGGCTAAAGTCCTACAATATTTTTATTATCTAAATTTACCTGACAATAGAAATTAAAACACAAATTAACCTGACTTCAGTATGTATTAGTGGTAAAATCCTATTATGCAAATATGCTACTAGTTTCAATATTAAGGGTAAAACTCTACAATAGTAATTAAAATAATAATCTATCTGACTCATTTAAACATTACGATTAAATCCCTACAATATTATAGAAAATACCGAGTCTCCTGACTGATTTAAATATCAAAGTGAGGGTTGATCATCTGTCAGGAGCTAAACGGACGTGGTTGAAGCTGCGACGTGAAACCAAACAGGCGGATGATGGACTCACAGGTCTTGGCTCTCCCTGACAGGGCCTCGCTGGATCCGGTGGTGTAGGACGCGATCACCTTGACGCTGTAGTCCGTCCCGCTCAGCAGGTTGACGATCAGCATGGTGTTCACGTCCTCCCCCACGAAGGTCTCCAGGGCCCGTCCGGGGCCTGCAGGGCGGTGGGATAATTGAGAAGACACATCAGTGATAGAATGAACACAGAGCGGCCGGTTCAGAGGTGATCATTAGCTTCTGCTCTGGCAGGAAAGAGAATCCGCATGACGGAAAACCAGACCACACATGGTGAATGTTGTGAGAAGAAGCTTTAGGATTATTATTTGTGTTTGAATAATTCATGTCCACTCGTGTTCTCACTTCATCTGTATGTTTGTACAGGCAGAGGTGGTATTTTTATAAATGTTATCTTTATTTTTGCAGTTTACAAAGACATTTCATTACAATGTCATTACCTGTAGAATAATTTAAATTAAAATATTACATTTTTATGCTGAAGGATTGTAAATTATGAACAGCTAATTGCTCTATAATTGAACAGAGTTTCAACAGAAGAAAATGAGATTCACTGTTAAATACTATAACTAAACGTTCCAATAATATACTGTGTTTCTTCTTCTAAAATGTATAAACTGTGTTTCGCAGACATTTACTGAGATACTAATGTGTTTTCAATATTTATGATCCAGAATTAAGCTCTACCAACTCAGTTTGCCATTTTAAAATATATATATAGCACTTAAAATGCTTAAAAAGGATAAAGAATGAGGCAAATTATTATTTTAAGAATTCACTCAAAGGCAGCAATAGAAGACAAACTGTAGTTGTTTAAATATAATTTAGAAATGAGGGAAAATGTATTTAATTTTATGAGATAAATTATTTAGAAAACGGCCTCAGCGTAAAGTTAGCAATAATATTGTCTAAACAATGCTTTATGAACTGATCTGTGAAGCTTTCTTGTTCAAAACACATTACTGCAGGTTTTACAAGAGCCTGCAGTCATTCTGGTTTTTCGGTGCGGTGGCCGACGGGGGCAAATTACGTGCATGTACACAAACGAGCTGCATGTACATGACTGTGTTGCACTAATGAAAACAAATTCAAAAAGAACATCCAGCCACACAACGGAAGTGCCCCAGGCCTCTAGGGGCAGTAGAGAGCTTTAAACCTGAGAGGCAGACAACGGTGGGCGAGACGAGTAACGTTAGTTCAGGGAAAAGCTGTATGGAAAGGTTTGTATTGTCTCGTCTCCATGGATAAACATAAAAAACAGAGAGAACACAGGGCGGCGGTAGTAAAACACCACTTCAGCACCCATATAATCACAGTTACTGAAAAGCTTGAAAACTGCCCCTAGAGGCCTGTTGCACTTCCATTGTGTGACTGGATATGCAGCATTTTGTTTTTGCATTTGTTTACATGTGTGCAGCGCGTCTGTATATGCAGCGTTTTCCTTTTGCAGCACATTTGCATGTTTGCAGCGCATTTCTGTTGATGCTTGTCATTTGCCCCCGTCGGCCACCGTAGAAATGTATCAAAATGTACTGTAAGTTGTGTGTACTGTAGTTTACAGTACACTACTGACACAATTTGGCTGTATTTTCACAGTAATTTATTGCACTGCATAATTACATTTGTTGTTTTTGTACCTGTCATGTCCTTAATTATGCATAATTTTAAGCCTTAAATGGCTAAGATGCATATAATTTCCCTCCCTGTACAACTGTCTATGAAAAAAGTTAACCATAGAGTCCAGAGAAGCTGTTGGTACGAGGCTTTAAACATGTTTATTTCTGCTGTTAAGTTGGACATTTTAACAGGAAGGTCTATGGGGACTGACTCGCTTTTGAAGCCTCTAGTGGCCATCCGAAGAACTGCAGTTTTTGGCACTTCTTCATTTTTTAGCATCGGTGGCTGCTGATTGGTGTTCTAATGTCCTCCATCGATATTCTTCTATATGCATGTCGGGGAAGCGTTAGCAAATCTTTGACTGCTTTCTGTAGATCACCTGAGAGGGGCTGGTAGACGACTCTGTAGCCCATGGTGGGTGAAGGTGGAACATCCCAGCTGATCCTGAAGCGGTTGTACCATTCCTCTGACACGCGCAGGTTCTTAGGAGCCGAAAGTGGAACTGAGGAGGAGAAAGAAAAGACACATTTCTTGTTTAACCTCGGTGAAAATATTGTTTCAATGAATTCCATATACACACAGTACGACCATAAACACATAATGAAGCCTCTTGGTTGAACTAATGTCCATCTATTGGATAACTGGAAAAAAAAAAAAGCTTAAAGTTTTCAACCAAAACACTTTTTTTTCTACATGTCTGATTTGAAAATCAAAAAAAAAACTTATTACAATAACTGGAGTCTGTAAAAAAGTAAAACATTAAATAAATAAATAAATAAATAAAATAAAAAATGAGAAATCTGTCCTCCTGGATCCAACCATGCAAGTCATAAAAATAAAGCAGTTGCACTACATCCTGCAAAAAAATAATAATAATAAAAAAAACTGAAAATGTTGCGCTCATAAATGCCGTTAGTGGCTCATCTGGAACCAACAGTCATGTGACAAAAACTCAGGAACTTTTTGGCTGAACTGTACAAGTATCACAAATTAAAAGTGCAAGCAGTTCATTATCTTTAGCATGTAGAGTCATCTTCATCTCCTACTCCCAGTATTCTTAACACCAGTGGGAGCTTGAAAAAAAATCTTGATTGTGGTTCTACTTAATTCTGGGTAAATTAAAAAAAATAAATAAATAAATAAATTATGGCTTCATAATTGTGTCATACTGCACCCAAGACATTTTTTAGTTCTCTCTAAAAATGTAACAGGTGCAAAGAAAATGTACAGAAACCAATTGGGGTTTAAAAGGGGTTAATGAAGCGTGTGTTTTATTATGGTTTATTAATTTCTCTATTTTCATCCACGACCACTGTTGGGTGTTCTCTTCAGATGCTGCTGGGATAAAAACAAGGTTTACAAGCAATGAGAGGTTCTGTCTGGACTCAAATCGGTGATAGAAGGATATTGAAAAAAAAAGAGGAAAAAGCAAGAAAGAAGCGCCGACAGGAAAATCAATCAAAAGGAAAAAGACAGCGAGGGTAAGACAGGAAGAGAAAGAAATGAATTAAAGCTGCCACACTCTGTATACAAGCGCAATAAAACACAACCTCATGTAAATTAAATCCAATAAAATCAAATCGATTAATGAGACGCTTCCCACGAATGTAATTCTCAGCTCTCCAGAATTATTAAAAAGTGCGTTAATAATAGAAAATGTCATCAGACTGCATAAAGAGAGAGGAGGAGAGAGAGGACACTGGAGGGACAGAAACCAAGTTGGCAGGAGGAAGATAATGAAGAGTCAAAGAAGGATAGAAGTTTGATAACACTTAATAAAATTTCAACAGTCAGCACAGTGAAAATGTAAAGTCCCTCCGCTGTTACAGAGTGTACAGTTGAATTAGTCTGTCAGGAAAGATATTAAAAACCAGAGGACTTATCACCGGGGTGACAACTGGGACAGAGCTTCTGAAAACAGAGCGACACGGTATTAATAGTATGTTTTAAAATAAAGTGCTTTCTTTGAGGAATGTGTGAGAGTTTTTCTTTCTTTCTTTTTACCCGGCCTGTGCATTCACATACATTTGTAACCTCTGTGCAAGTCTCCTCTGTGATAGATTCAAATCCTCAGAAGATCCCCTCGGTTAATGGGAGACGTGAGACTCTTCAGGTCTAAATCCCTGAGATGAATGTTGTAGCTGTTCACGTTTAAAATGCTAAAAAAAAAAAAAAAAGCCTCCCGTCGCTCCTCCCTGAGCTCATCCTTCTCGCCATCACACGAACCAAAAAACCTCCAAATTACATCGGCTCTTCCGCCTCATTTTCTCTCTTCACCTTCCGCGGTCGTTCGCCATTAAAAAAGATAACCGTGCTCTCCGCGTTTCGGTATCGGCTGCGACCTCAGATGTTCAAATCCCCGCCTCTTCTCCTGTATTATCTGTCTCCGCTGTGTCTTTCCTGGTCCTAAGAAAATTACCATCATCCTCTGAGCTCTTCCTGCCATTCCTCTCGCTACGTGTTCACCCTTGAGGCCAAACGGTAATGAGAAACTGGAGATTTAATGAAACTTTCCGAGCACAGAAGCTTTTTTTAGGAGCCGAGGACCATTTTTAGGAACTTGGGTACTAATTCTGCATGTAGACTCGGTTTTGGTTCCGGGGGCATGGTTCGTGCATTTATTACCTAATTCTTGTTGAGATGACATCAAGGCCTTGAGTTGATGGTAAAGCGAAGCTGTTTTTAATCTGGCAAATGGTCAAAAATTCAACCAAACACAACTTATTACTGACACGAAGCAGCAGAAGGATGTAATAATTCATGGGAATAGATTAAAGAACTCAATATGTGTTTCAGGACCAAGAACAACGTGAGACTATTTTCGTCTGAGTTCCTGCAGGTTTACGACTTCGCCTTTATGTCTAATTTTATTTTGTATGTTTTCTTTGATCTTATTTTCACCTCAGAAATCTCATCACCTTGTGTTCTCACCCTCCTTTAAGAACACAGGATCATAGGGATTTGAGGTCCCATGAGGGAAGGCACGGTTGTTAATAACCCACCAGGATCCTCAAAAAGCTTCTCTGGGTGAATTCTCCTCGCTGCAGGTATCTTGTCAAACAGAATTCACTTTATGGCCTCGAATCCTCACACTGTAATCGTACTGCCTCTGTGCTTTCCCTCTTCGCTTCATTCTTACGGTGCTAAAAACACTCCTCGTCCACAGTTTGGGGCCTTTCTAACACCTTTGGTCCAGATTTTTCAGTTTGATTTGAACGAAAACCACAAATGTCAAACCTTGGTTCAATGAAAAGAAGTGCACTCAGTATGGATCGAAATCGCTTCTGTTACGGTATTTCTTAAACCAAACCAAGACGTTTCAGTGTCTTAACTGTCGACACTAAAGTAGGGCTGAACAAGTCATTGATTATAAATTGAAATTGTGATTTGAAACAATGTGAAGACTGAAGTTATAGATACATGTCATGCAGCACATCTGATACAGGGTTGAAACTGTTGTGTCAACTTCATGCATTCCTACTTGTGTAACAGTCACACATTATATGTTTGAAATCTATCTGATGATGTGCATGTAGAGAAGACAGGTTCTTGCAGTCTTATGGAGCTTGTGGAATCACAGAACACCTTACCTTCTCCCCACTACATGACAGACAGAGCTCTACTGGAGCTTTACAACAAGGTTGGTAACCACCTTCACCATTAAGGAACAGCTTAGAAATGCAGTTTGTTAACTGAAAAGCCTTTCAGACATCAAGCATATGAGTTGAACTGAGTTTATTCACGTGAAGTAGAAAAATGGTATGGGATTTGGACTCAGTATTGGCACCACCACATATTGGATTGGATTGTTGGCAAAAAGCGTGATGGGGATATCCCTGTTACAAATCAAATCACAATGTCGGTCAGAAAATTGCAATTCGATGTTTTCTTCAAATTGACTTTGATATAGCCCACCTGTGGTTACAACAGGATGGATTTATGTTTTATAAAGTTCTTTGTTTGATTTGCATCACAGTCATGAAACCAAAACTAAGTGTTCAAATGTGTGACAAAAAACATTAACAATGTTTTAGTCTTTCAGGTGTCGTCATAGGTGTCACAGAAGTCTTTGTCATGGTGGTCATTTGCTATCTAAACCCCAACAAGGCTTGCCAACACAGAATGACTGTACTCCTTGTGACCACATCTTAGGGTCTCTACTCTATTAATCAGAGAGAGGAAACGGGTACTACAGCTAATCTACTAATTTGCTTATCTATCAGCAGATACTACTTTATTTGGACTGAATCAAAACTTGATCAGAACATCCCTACAGCAAATCAAATAACACTATCTCTCGAAAAAAAATGGCAATTACATACTTTACTTAAATCGTTCAGCCCTTTCTTGGGGTATTACCTGCCTATAAGGACTTTGGTGCAGCCCACCTTGGTGATTACAACACCATGGATGTATGTTATGTAAAATTCTTTGTTTGACTTGCATAGTTGCAATGAAATCGAAATTAAACTTCAAAAGTGATACAAAAACATGAGCATTGTTTCAGTGTTTCAGGTTCTGACAGGAGACCATCAAGTGTCACAGAGGTCTTTGTCGTGGTGACCATTTACCATCTAAACCCCTGCAATGCTCACTGCTTGACAGCACAGAATGACCGAACTCCGAGTGATGCCTCACTGCATCGCAACTGTATTACACAGCAAGAGGCTCCACCTGGTGGCGCAACCAGTTACTACGGCTAATCTATTAACCTGCTAATCTATCGGCAGATACTAAATATTAAATGATTCTGATCAGGAGTTAACTATCACAAATCAAATTTAACTATATCTCAGAAAAAATCGCTTTCCTTGAATCGTACAGCCCTATCTGGGGGTATTACTTGCCTATAAGGACTTTGATACAGCCCATTTAAGTGATGACGACAAGGTGGAAGTATTTCATGTAAAGCATAATTGCATGAAAGCAAAACTAAGTGGTTCAAATGTTTCATAAAACACACACTAGTTCGGACTTTCAGATGCTAAAAAAGGCCTTTTAGTGATCAATTCAGTTCTCATGATTCAAAGCTGCATCTGATCTATGACAGTCAAATCTTCAAAATTAGATTGTCCAATCATGTTGTCTTTTTTATACTGTCAATCTATTCTTCTCTAATTGCTTCAAATCTTCAGATTTAACCAGCCACAATATTTTCCAAATAGAATGCCGACAATCCTCAAATTCTCTGTCATACCTCCCTCAGTGATGAACTCATCACTACTGAGTTCAAACGTCCAGTTTCCGCTGACTTTTCTGTTGCATTATCTGTGTTTTTCCGCTTTCTCTCACCACTACAACCCCCCGTCATCTTCTCTGTATTACCCCCCACACCTCTCTCACCGATCCCCCTCCCCCATCCCTCAGTGGATCAGACCTAAAGATTAGTCTGCCTCCTCTGTCACATTCTCTCTCTAACGGTTTGAGGCTAAAAACCCAATCATCCTCTCTGCATTCCCTGTCATGCCTCCCTCGGCGTTCACCCCATCCCTCATAGGTTCA